TATAGTGTGAGCCGTACCAAACATCTTCATGCGGCATTATGACGTATACTAGGTATAATGCAATTTAGAAAAAAAGTGCAAAAAACAGTATACTTATGCACATACGCCTCACTTTGAAGTGCGAGCTAATGAATGAATCGATCCTTGGTTTATACACCGAAAAAAAAAAAAAAAAAAAAAAAAAATGGGAAGGAAAAAGGTTAAAAAAGTTATTTATTCCCCTGTGCGCGAGTTTGCAAGAAATAAAAGTCGACCGAGAGCAAAAGAAACAAGAGAGAAGCGGTACGGTGGCAGTAGCTTCGAGCCCCAACATCCGGCGCGTTTCCGGTGCACGCGGGACGAAAAAAGACTCCAAAGCCGCACTCATAATCTTTTGAAAGAAGCAAAGTAAAGCCGGTGGCTGATGGGTCCCCGGCGCAAAAAGGAAAAAGCAGCGCGACCGCATTAACACTGGTAAAGAAATGGTCGCGGTGAGGCAAGTTCTCTGGGAGTCGAGGGCAAATTGTAAATAAATCCAACGTGCAAATTAACGTTTTTGGGGAGTACCACCTGGTTTGCCAAGGGGGCACGCAGAATCTTTAATTTCCTTGCTTTTAACGGCACCGCTTACACATGTTACAAGTGTGAGTGTCTGCACATGTGGCCGAAGTGTGAAGCTGCAGCTCTCGAGTGCGATTCGAGAGTAATTAAAAGAAAAAAGAAATTTTAATTAATTCACTTGGAGATGCTCTTAGCTTTTATAAGTTTTAATAATAATGGTAGAATAGCGTGTAAAAATAATAAAAAAAAAAAAAAAAAAACTGGAGTAAAACGAAATACTTTGGTGTTTCTATTGTGGAGTAAAACAGTACAAACAATTAAAAAGGAACCCCGTACTCTAGTTGTTGTGAATACAATATTCTTATCTTTTGGCCGTAGATTAACACAATACATTAAGTTAAGAGGGATTCCAGAATCAATAACTCATGTAACTTTTCTGGAAAGCCAAGTTATGTGCCAAGGAGGATGATGGTATTTCTATGAAGATTATAAACCAGCATGTATTACATACTATTGGCTGAAAATGTTTTTCCAACCACGTACAGCTTCGTAAAAATTTTTCTGTGACCAAATATTTTAATGGCGAGTAGTAGTGAATTGAAAAAAACTCATTTCACCCAAACTCTAAACATCATGTCTTTTTTCGTGATATCAGTTTTATCTTTTTTTCTTTACTCTACGATCACGAAGAACATGTTTATAACGGATAAAAGATAAGATACGAAGACTTCATAGCTCCGAGCCGCATTTACTTTGCAGCCCCCACCCCCTTGGTATTGCCCTTTTGATAAACATTATAGTGTGTAACTAATCTCTGGCCTGTAAGGCACTTAGTATCTGTTTCGTTACCAACGCACAAATAAAAGTTTTTTGACACAGTGTTTTTTTCAATCAACCACCGTTCGAGCGATAGTGCAAAGATAATCGATAAAAAAAATCCCAAGTGTGCACCGTACCCATTCAACATTGATTGTGAGCAAAAGCGTACAATTGCTTCTTTGCATTTTAAGTAACTGCACAGAAATTGCACGTACCAAACTAAACCGACTCTTCAATAAAGTGAGTCGTGACGTCATTGTACACACACTCAGTTGCGTGTATCCTTTCACTCTAATGGATCCTTCCACCGCGGCTAATTTCAATTGCGCAATGAAAATTCGGACGAGGTCCAAAAAAAAGGCATCTTGAAGTTGGGCATGTTTCAAATTCGGTACTGATAATAGTGTGACAAAAAAAAAAAAAAAAAGAAAAATCTCGTCCATCCCATTGGAGAAGGGAGTCAAGCGACAGTGTCCCCTTTTTCCCTCCTCCCATGTATAGACAACAGCAGCAATGCTTTCTTTCTCTCAACTAACCGGAAATCCACAACGTATACTTATAGCACGCAACGAGGGGGGTCTAGACAACCACGGCAGTGTATGGGGTAGGAGGGGGCAAAAAATCGACGATAAAGTTCATGACACGTTATACCCGCCATGCAGTGCGTGGATATTCACGGGAGATAAGCTATCCCAGCGGCAGCTCGCCGGGCAAGCTCAACGAGAAAAGCGAGACAAGGATACACTCCCTGGGAGTCGAAAAAATACAAATACACGTGTAAAGTCACGTATGTAACACACACCCTCTTTCCATACCACTTTTAGCTCTCGCGTTTGTTAATTTGTTCCCTAGCTCGTTTTTATCTAGTTTAACGCTGATTTGCTCTCAATCCTGCCACAGTGTGCGTGGCTTTTCCTACAGGTAGTCGATTTTTATCCTCTTGTCTCTGACCCCCCGTTGGTGCTCTGGATCTGGATTTTATCGAGTGTACAGTTTTCTCATCGATTACGGTTGGATTGGGAGGTAAAACTGAATTGATTTTCATACAAAATTTTCATCCCAGTCAAAGTACATGTGAGCATCTACACCGTGCATCGCGTAAGCCACTTGTTAGTAAATATGTCGAGGACGTTCACGAATTATACATTTGAGGTTTTTCTGTTTTTCCTACTACTTTGTGCCATTGCACACGAGTCTATTTTTGGATTTCTTAACGCGACGTTGCGCAACTACCTTCGAAAAAACTTGTCATCCTTCCAACACTCGTTTCGAGAGTCCATCCATTCAAATCATACTTCGATGTATGAACGTGAAAAGTTGTTTCAACGATAATGAATGCAGAATAACAGGCAGAGCTATTTCATACTCTCTTCGACAACTCATAAAACGATCTATGCAGATTTTATCCCGGATTGGCGTTTGCAATCCTCACACATTGCGCCGGCGATCCCGAAAATAACGGCGCCAAATGATATTGCCGTCAAAAAGGATCTTATCTCTTATTTTTGCAAGCCCTCCGCTATTGCATCGTTCGATCAAAGGAGCGCGTAATCCATCAAAAAGACCCCTGGCCCCCAAATATTGGAGCATAAAAAACAAGAGGAGAGAGAGCTTCGTTTCTATATGCGTCCAAAGTACAAAAAAAGAGCGCTCGTCTCGCGTGCGTCTCCCTTTGACTCCGTCCATCGTCTTTGTATCTCATCTTCCTCCTTCGACTTCCTCTCTCTCTCTCGACCCAACGACATGTACGTACATGAGTGTACATGGGGAGGAGGACGAGTATAACCAGACATGTGTTCCCTCGGCTCCTCCACTGTACCACACACGCATGTTGTATACATATATACATACACTTACTCCAAAGAAGAACCAAGAGCATTAGCCATCAGCGGTCCGTCTGGCTCCTCCGGGAGTTGTTTCTTCTTCTGTATACTCCTCCTTTCCGTCCCTCTCTCTTCATCAAACGTATATACGTACATCCACGTATAACGTGTATGCTCGAGTCTCCATGTGGCCTCGGCTTACGCACGAGCTGTCGCGGATCAGTAGGCTTTCGAACTCGCACGCGGCCAGCCGGCGTATTATAGCCGTCGTCTCCGGTAAATGCGGACTCTGGCCGCGAGTGCGCGTACTCGTGGGTAATACATGTCGCGTACGTGACCGGAAAACTCGAGGAGTCGCGCCTTGCGCAGTGCAACTTTTCCCCCACGACTCGGTTACTATACAAATATATAAATGTGTTACACAATGTGCGATAACGATCCTTCTTGGTAATGTATCGAGGTGGGGGGTGGCTCTTTTGCCTTACCTTTGTTTTCGAGATTTTCGGCTGGACGAGTACCGATTTTTCCATACCGATCGCCAGTGGCGTGATTTGAAGCTGACTTTCCGAGAATCACATTCGCAAACGTCTATATGTACGTAATCGACTAGAACATCATTGGCTGCGTTTCGTGTGCCAACAGTACTTCCTCTGTGCGAAGCAACGCATACGATATTACGTGTGCGCGTATCCAAGTTGCCGAAACTATCGGTATAGTGATGAGCCAACGATCTCTGATAAAGAAAAGTAATAATAATAAATCCACCTCGTACCGGTCATGAAGTGATGATTTTTTTTTTCCTCCTTACCGATCTCCCGATCGAAAGAAGTTACATCGGTTGTACTTGCGAAAATTTGATCCTGCAATTACCCGTGTGGTAAGTAAGTAGTGTACATCGTGAGATCGGTATACGAGCCGAGGAAAGAGGAGCCGGTGGACGATGTATTTCGTTAATCCCTCGATTCCTAAGAAGGATCGTTTCAGCGGAAACGACTGAAAGACTATATGTGTTCACACACGTGCGCCAGGGGATAAAAAAAAAGCAGCATCTTTCTGTTTTTTGTGCATCAGCTAAAGTTCCAGGGCAAGTGTGTGTATAGCTCTGAAACTGCAACAGTCGCGTGTTTTTACGACGGACAAAAAGAAAGATAGAGTGTCGCGTCGTCCCGTCTGTGTTTGTGAGTGCTTGAGAGCTCTGCGGTGTACTGTTTTACTCATTGAAAAGTGTTGAAACAACTGTTTTTGCTTCGAAGCTAGTGGTGGAATTGATTTCGTGACAGTGATTACGATGATGCATTGACGATCGGTCGTTGAGATCGAATTTTCAAATCGAGTTTTTCAACGCGATACCGATCGCATGGAAAGCACTTTTGGTATCAAAAAATCGCGTCACAACTCCCAACTCCATGGAGTTGATTAATTCTCATACATAGCACAATATATGCATAGAAACGCATGGCATTGCACGCCGATTCGCATCCGATTTTAATACACAACGATTATCCTTCCAAGAGAAGAGGAACCGTCTCTCCTCGTGGTTACAACACGCGTGACGGATGTTAAAAAAAAAAAAAAAATAGTGATTTCAAATACGAATGCGTAAAAAGCTCCCGGTTGAGTTACCGGGACAAACTGAACGAGACAGAGCCAACGACAATCCGATCTCGACAGTATCGGAAGCGAGTAGACGGGGCAAATTATTTCTCCATCAGCGACGACGGCCGCGCGCTAAAAGCGCACCACCACAGCGGCCCTTGAAAGCTGCATCAATCATGAGCCGCTGCCAGCAACGGGGACACTAAAAGTGAATCCAAAAAACAAAAAAAGAATAAGTACTCAGCTCCCGAGAAACTCTGGCGAAGGGCGGCTAATAATAGACGGGATGCCCAACTGCTGCGGCGGCGGGTGCCGCGAGTTGCGCGCCAGCGCCGGCTGCGAGGCTTACCAGCCGCTCCAGCAGCACCGGCCGTCTTTGTTGCAGCAGCAACTGCCGGGACTCGGGGGCTACGGGGGCAGCAGCCTCTGGCTGTTGAGGCAGGAGGCCAGGCCTCGCACGCCCAAGGATCACGTGCGCAAGCTCAGCGTGCGATACGACGCTGTGAGGCCTGCCGGGGCTAAGGAAAGGTACTTTACGTATATATAATTTATTGATGACCGGGGGAAGCCTTTGGTGGGTTTTTTATTTTTGGAATCGGGAGGGGATTGATGGATGAACTTGTCGGGTGGGTGATTAGTTCCGCTTTTGAATTGATTGACCCGTGTTGTGTATAGGCACTTACGGCGATGTAAATAAAGGTCCGTGACACTTGGTTATTTTTGTCTCCCGCGTTTGTATATATTTGTAGCTATATGGAGGAGGTGATCAAGGCGTTTAACTGGATGATTTGTCTCGAAACGCGTTCAGCTGTTGTGTATATATTTTTGTGTGCCCGCATTTGACAATATTACGAGGGAAGCTACGGATTTCATTGATCCCCCTTCTTGTACAAGAGTTATCGGAGTATCCGAACTTATCTTGACGGAGAAAATAAACATTCAACGCTGAAGAAAAAATTAATTACGCTTGATAATTAAGTAATTATATACCGTAAAGTTGAATCAGTCCGTTCAATACACTGTTGGACTTTTCATTGAAGGTTCATTAAGTTCGAGACAAGGGAATGATAACCAAATACCCTTCGTAAGGGACGGTAATAGCTCTCACAAGTACGCAAACTTTCAACCAAACAAATTGGTAACTACGTTTAATCCAATTTTTTTTTTTTAAACTTTTTTTTTTGGCGCAGGTGAGTTTGGCTATAACTGGCGTACAAGCATTTTCGAGTGATAAGCAAAATCATTGATTTACTGAATATCATGAACTTGATGAAAGGATCTTTTATGCTGAAAATTTAGTGCTAGCTATTCAAACAACTAAACAACCAAGCTTCTCTCGTACACACATCATATGTAAATACCTGGTTGGTGGTAAATGGCTGTCTAGTCATGCTCGATAAAGTATACGTTCGGAGGGAAAGGCAGAGATGAAAAGGGAAACAAAAGAGATGAAAAGTTCGCTTGTTTTGGCAGCTGCTGTCCTCCGGCCGGAGTTTCTCAAGCGTTTGCTCGACATTTGGGACACGCGCGATTCCTGGGTAAACTTAAAATCGAGAAATTAACTCTCCGAGCTCGAGAAAAAGTAGCAAAGCTTAGCTGTTAAAGTTACTTTTTTTTTGAGGACACTCGATTTTCAAAGAATTCCACTTCTATCGAAATTTTATGTGGTTTTGGGAAACAGTGTGTGTTGGTATATTGGGTGATTAACCAAAAATACCAGCAACAGAAAAAAAAATTGCACAGTTTTACGTTTCATTCATCCCAAGGAAAATACTCTGCACTGGGAATGAAAGCGTGTCATTTGCAAAATGTATCATCATAGCGATGTTAATAAGTACTTGACAAATAATGACATTCATCTATAATTAACTATTTCACCAGACCTGTTGAAGCCAACATTTTTTCACAAAAAAAAAAAAACAAAAAAAAATAATAATAAATACACTAAGGCCACAGGATGTGAAATATCCTGTCATAAATCGTAAAACTGTGATGGATCTATTTTGCACTTCATATTCTTACTTTGTCAAGTATGAGGAAAAAACTTTTTCCTGTTTATACAGCTGGTTGAGTATTTGGTAATGTATTTTTCATGTTGCCTCAAAAACTCTTTATTACCTACCTCTAACGATCGCATACACCTATCAACACTTTCATCTGCTCCCCAAATTCGATTACAGCCAAACGTGTGCGAATTTTCGCTAACTCACTCCAACATAACAACCCATTTAATTACGTTTAATTGGTGTGTGACGCGCATTGGGTGTAGAGTACATTGATTGCTTTGGAACAACAATTTATCTGGATTTATTTTTCAATACATTTATTTCCGTGTATACACTTCATATAGTATGTATATTTGTTTGTTACCGATCTCTTCGTAATACAAATTCCTTGCTCCCCCGCAAGGATTGCGATTCTTGGATTAATATTTGATAAACAAAAGTCGTCGAGCAAAACGAGACCGAAACATCTCGTTTCATAATTCACCTACTCATTAATTAGCGCACCTACATATACGGACACACGTCGCACCGCATAGGATTAACAAGCGGACCACGCGCTCTAATCAAACTGTAATTATCGTGTTCCGTTCTCCTCTTCCTACCCACTATCCACGCCTGGTCATAATTTATTCTTTGCGTTTACTCTTCGATATGGCTCGCGGGGGCCCATTTAACTTTTACAGCGCGCCTCCTTCTCAGCTTCCTTTCTGTTTTGTACTTGCCGTGGATAAAATCCCGGCTAAATCCAATCACCGTGAAGCATCTTTCGGAAAATCGAAAATCGATGTACGAGCCCGACGATGCGGCAAACTACTGTTACGTCCTTTCTCTCTTGCCCTCTCGTGTGTGTTGGTGTATGTTCATGCATGACCACTTGTGCTCCGGAAATGCATTGAAAAAGCGAGAAAAACAGAAATACCGGGAACAAAATCTCTTAAAAAGGTTGAGAGTGCCGGAGAGGGCTAGAAAAAAAAAAAAAAGGAGAACTGTACCGTATGAGCGGCTGCACCGCGAGTTTAAGATAAGACACGTGAACTAGCGTTTTTGGTTTTTGAGTTTGTAGGTGGTGCATTAGTACACGTGCTAGCGACCCGTTGCTTGCTCGTGAATCTATTCGTAATGCATGGAATGCATTTGTATAGATAAATACCTACGAGACACATTTTCTTCCAAATGTATCAGATAATTCTCTCGTAAATTTTTTCATTCCTCGCAAGTTTGTGACAAGGATAGCCTATTTAGATGTAACTTTTTTTTTTTAAGATTTAGATATATTTAATAGATAAACTTACGGATGACATGGATCTACGCATTTTTCACATGGTTCTAGAATTGATTGATTAAAAAAAAAAATTTTTAACTCTACTACGTAGTGTCTCGGATTTACTGCACGTTTCTTGTCATACATTTCGAGCTGAAAGTTTACTCAGGATTGCCAAAAGTGCAATAAGTCCATCACCTGTTACATTACCGTAAATTGATGCATTTGATATTAAAAAAATTTTTAATTTCTTACCATATTTTAATAATATTGAAAAACCTGAATCAGCTGTCACTTTCGTGTAATGCAAAAAATGTTTAACTGTTAATTAAAAATTCAATCTGTTGATATATTGTTGTTTCAAAATTAAATGATAAAAAATTTTTAAAATACACGTAGATTTTACGATCAAACTGACGCGAAAATTTCTTTTTTTTTTTCGATAACACCATTTTTATTTTAATTCCCAAACAAACGAAAGGCAAAACTCATTGGCTCATTCCGGTCTGAATCCTTTCCGCAAACTCAATGCTATCGCGAAACCCAGTCATCCCAATTAGCTCGTTCACTCGAAAACTAACAAACCCCCCTTTCGCCTCAACTGGCCTCTACAAAAGCTACCTGGCTACTAGTGCCGAGCACTCCCGGATCCCTTACAATACCTAGGCTCGCGAAAAACCGGTATCTTTCCTTCCCAAAGACCTGCAAAGCCTTTTCTCGGATCCAAAATCCAATTCAGCCAAAATCAACCCTCGCAATCTGCCAAAGCCTCACGTGCGTTCCCACAGCCAACTAATATCGATCTGCGGCAAATCAGCGCATACATACCTATCAGGGAGTCACGAGCGACCGCGATTTTTTTTTTCCTCCCAGCTAGTATTTAAACAACCGACTTCCTCCCACGAGTGTGTATACATACCTGGCCATCGGTATAGCGATTCCATTGACAAATAATTGCACGACAAATACGCCAGGAGGTGGGGAAGGTACAGGGAAGCGATCTCTCTCAAAAATCTCAATTTTAGGCCATAGATATACCTGTAGAGGGACTCAGATTCTAAATTGGAACAACGAAAGCGTAACGTGGATTCCCTTTGGTTGACTCAACCGGTGATCTTTTATTAGTTTTTTCAATCTGGATTATTTTTTATCAGAATTTTTCTCCCTCCCTTTAAATAAAAAAAAAAATAAAAAAAAACAGAAGCGCGTGTCTTAACTGACCTTTCAACACCATTAGCCTCCACTTAAAAACGACTTGTCGTATGTACCGGCAGGTGTGAACAACAGTGACGTACATAGCTGCTTATGTGCCGGAATTGAAAGTGCGAACAAAACAAAACTCGGTTAATTTACCATCACGAAAGAGGAGGTTGGCGTGCGTGCAGCAAACGAGGGAATAGGTATACGCGGTGCAGAGGAAGAGGAGAAAAGATTACGGTGGCACATGCGCTCTTTTTACGAATACCTACTCTGTTGCGTGGTGCTAGTCGCCGGTCGACCTTCAGTCGCGGCTAGGCTGCCGCACCGCGATTTCGAGAGTGTCCGGAGGTGGGCGCCTCATTTTTTTTTTTCCACGGCAAGATCACGCGAGTGAGCGTTTGTAGACTCGTGATTATTCAGCTGGTGCTTACAGTCAACTGTGTAGGCAAGTGACTTTGGAGATGATGCGCGCGTGGGATGAGGCAGGCTCGCGTTGCTCATCGAATCAATTGTCATGAATTGTGCGAATGAATAATGTATTACAATCCAAACTTAGGATCGACACGATTTTTCAAAATACGCGTGGCAATTAAAATCCGAGTAAATTACGCTATGTAATTGGGGCGAATTTTTTTTTCCCCCTTTTGAAATAATCCAAGTTCGACGGAAGCAATTATTACAAATTACGTCGTTGCAACTTATTCGCGTCGCAATTTCTAAATCCCAGCAATTTCAAAGCGAAAGTTTTAATAAGAAACGTTGAACGCAATGTTATATCAAAATAACCTACCACGTCGGTTTTTGCCATCATTTTCCACATGTACGTGTGTATACTGGAGTTACCGAAATCGCACATTTTTTTGTTTCTTAAAAAGAAAATTATCCGTCATTTTTTTTTTTTGCTCAAGTACAATTATGTGCGATAATTAGTTTAGGATCGCAACGAAGATAATAATGATACCTTGTAAATTCGTTGATCCCCTCGGCCTAAGTGTATACCTAATAGGAGCAGAGTTTCCAAACTTTCCCAATCCCTCCCTTCAGTCTAAGAGTAAACGAGT